CCCCCCGCTCGAGTCCCTCGCGTCCTTGGCTCGTAGATGCCCCCGTCGTCCGTGTTCGTAGTCGACCATCCCTCGCCGCGTCATTCGGTCGAGACTGGTGGGGGAAGGGGGGAGGAAAAGAGGGGAGGGGGGTGGGTTAGAGATTGGTGTTGGCAGCGGAGGGGTTGGAGGTGGGGGGTGGGGCGGTGGGGGACTGTGGGAGGGGAGGCAGGGGAGGGGGGCGGAGTTAGAGACTCGGCTGTTGGAGAGGAGGGGTCTTGGAAAGGTGGGGGGATGGCGTATAGGGGGCAATGGGGAGAGCGAAAGGTGTTGCGTGGAGGGATGCGGAGGGAGAGGGGGTGGCGGTGAGGGGGATGGCGAGGGGAAGGGGTGGCGATGAGGGGAATGGGGAAGGGGAGGGGTGGCTTGTGGGGGATGGCGGAGGGGGGAGGGGTGGCGCATGGGGATGGGGAGGGGCAGGTGTAGTGTGAGGGGGAACATGGTGGCTGGTGGGGGTGACGGGTTGCGGTAGGAGGGGATCGGGCGAGGATGAGTATGGGTGAGAGGGGGATGAGAAGGCGGAGGGGTTGGAGGTGGGGGGGATGGGGAGGGTAGGGGTGGCGATGGGGATGGGGGGGAGAGGTGGCGATGGGGGGGGGTGGATGAGGGGAGGGAAGTGGCGATCGGGGGATGGGGAGGGGAAGGGAGTTGGGAGGGTTTAGAGATCTAATAAGAGGTCGGCAGTCGAGGGACGGTTGGTGATGGCGGTGAGGTTGGAGACTTAAAGGAAGGGGGACGAGGGGTTAAGAAAAAAAGGGGATGGAGTTGACCGTGAGAGGAGATGATGAGGGGCGGGCCCTCTGGGGTTTGGAAATTGAGGCCAGAGAGCTGCGCAGAGAGGTTTACGACCGGAGAAAGCGAAGGGTTGTGAAAATTTTGGCAGAGTTTATAAATGGGTTGCCACGTGTCCTATCATCCCATTTTTTTTTTTTTTGTTTTGGGGGGGTGAGGGGTAGGGGAATGTTTAGGGGAGATGGGGGAGGGTACCGGGGGTTGAAGTAAGGGACATCAAGGGGGAGGGAAGAGGTAGTTTGGGGAAGCGGTAAGTGGGAAAAAACGTTGGGGAAGATGGGTGGGAGGGTTAAGGGGAAGGGAGAGGAATAGGCTTACACTTATAGGAGGGGGAAGGGTGGAGGGTTACATATGGGAAGTGGGAGAGGGAGGTGGGCAAACGGGGGTTCATGAGGTTATCAGGGAAAGGGAGGAGAGAGGGATATGGAAAGTAAAGGGGAAGGGGAGGTTGGGAAGCGGGAATGATGGGAAACGGGGGGGTGGTGAGCTGTGTAGTTTTCTGATGTTCTCTATTGGCCGGTGTTACATACTGTTGGAAGCTGGTGGCTGATATTAGTCCTGCCGGTGTTAACTTCATGTGGTCTCTGTGCGTGTTTTGGTGCCTGAGGGGTCTTTTTTGTCCTAAGTATACGTTATTAAAAATCGGTTTTGAGAAACGTAGATCTGGAGTTATCTGGTGAAGGGCCAAGAGGTGTGGTTGGGTGGGTGCGATGGGAGTTGGGCGAACTCGGGAAGTGGGGTTGCGGATAGGAGTAGAAGAGTGGTTTGCACGTGTATTGTCAGACACAAGCCTGCTGAGCGGGAATAAGCAGGAGACAAGGATAAGTGGACAAATAACCAAAGAAGAAGAAGATGCTAGAAAAGGATAAAGCTTATTGAAGAGAAGAGGATTTCAACGACAAAAAAAAAAAAAAAAAAAAAAAAGGTTTAGAGAGGGCGAATGGGGTTGTAAGGCAGAATTGGCGATAAATATGACTAATTAGAAGATATGAAAAATGGGAAAAACCCTATTGGATATTGTAAGGTCATCGTGTGAGGTCTTATGGGAGAAACATTTCGAGGAGTTGTGGGGAAAATATTAAGGTAGGAGATTAAGGGAAGGAGAAAAAGGGAGGGAAAGTTATGGAAGAAAGGAGAAGTTAAGGGAATAGCATGAGGGAAAGAAAAGGGAAGGAAAATAAGGGAGGAAAGTTATGGAAAGAAAGGGAGGGAAGGTTAAGGTAAATATGTGAGGAAACGGAAAGGGAAGGAAATTAAGGCAGGGAAAGATAGGGGAAGAAAGAGAGGAGAAGTTAAGGGAATAGCATAAAAGAGAAAGAGAAAGGGAAGGAAAATAAGAGAGGGAAAGTTAGGGAAAGAAAGTAAGGGAGGGAAATTAGGAAAGAACATGAAAGGAAAGGGGCAGATCAGGAGAAGGAGATGAAGGGAAGGAAAATTAAGGGAAAAAAGTGAAGGGAAGGTTAAGGGAGAATGTGAGGGAAGGAGGAAAGCGAAGATCACGGGAAGAAAGGAGATTAAGGGAAGGATATTTAGGAAAGAAGTGGAGGGGAGGGGGAGGTTAAGGTAAAAACATGAGGGAAAGGGAAGATTAAGGAGAATTAGGGAAACAAAATGAAAGGAAGAAATGATTAAAGAAATGGCATAAGGGAAGAAAATTAAGGAAAGGAACTTAAGGAAAAGGAAGTTAAGGGAGAGAGAGTTTGGGAAAGAAGGAGAGAGGTAGGGAGGATAACGGAAGGACGAGAGGGAAGGGAAATGGGTAAGGGGAAGTGAGAATCCCCGCGAATAAACACAGGGAAAGGGGAAGTAGCGGGGGGGCGGGGGTTGGGGGGTGGGATGTAGGGGTGTAGGGGGGGAGGACTCAGTTAGGAGAACATAGGAGTTAGTATAATGTTAAAAATAATGATATAATAAATAATAAATAAAAATAAGTAAATGAATAAATGAACAGAGAAATAAAAAAGAAAAAAGTGATGTGAAATTAAAAGGCNACTTCAAATCCTCTTGCTTCAAATCCACCCAACTTTAAATCCTCCTTGCTTCAAATCCACCTAACTTTAATCCTCCTTGCTTCAAATCCACCTAACTTCAAATCCTCCTTTGCTTCAAATCCACCCAACTTTCCTTTGCTTCAAATCCACCTAACTTTAAATCCTCCTTGCTTCAAATCACCTTTTAAATCCTCCTTGCTTCAAATCCACCTAACTTTAGATCCTCCTTGCTTCAAATCCACCCAACTTTAAATCCTCCTTGCTTCAAATCCACCCAACTTTAATCCTCTTGCTTCAAATCCACCTAACTTTAAATCCTCCTTGCTTCAAATCCACCTAACTTTAAATCCTCCCTCTCAAATCCACCCAACTTGGCTTCAAATCCACCCAACTTTAAATCCTCCTTGCTTCAAATCCACCTAACTTTAGATCCAAATCCACCAACTTTAATCTCCTCAAATCCACCTAACTAAATCCTCCTTGCTTCAAAATCCACCCAACTTTAGATCCTCCTTGCTTTAAATCCACTAACTTCAAATCCTCCTTGCTTCAAATCCACCTAAACCTTGCTTCAAATCACCTAACTTCAAATCCACCAACTTCAAATCCTCCTTGCTTCAAATCCACCAAATCCTCCTTGCTTCAAATCCACCTAACTTTAGATCCTCCTTGCTTCAAATCCACCAACTTTAAATCCTCCTTGCTTCAAATAACCCTCTTGCTTCTCCAAACTTTAAATCCTCCTTGCTTCAAATCCACCCAACTAATCCTCCTTGCTTCAAATCCACCTAAACTTTGCTGCTTCAAATCCACCAACTTTAAATCCTCTTGCTAGATCCTCCTTGCTTCAAATCCACCTAACTTTAATCCTCCTTGCTTCAAATCTCTTGCTCAAATCTTCAAATCCTCCTTGCTTCAAATCCACCCAACTTTAAATCCTCCTTGCTTCAAATCCACCTAACTTCAAATCCTCCTTGCTTCAAATCCACCCAACTTCAAATCCTCCTTGCTTCAAATCCACCTAACTTTAAATCCTCTTGCTTCAAATCCACCTAACTTCAAATCCTCCTTGCTTCAAATCCACCCAACTTTAAAAATCCACCCTTGATCCTCTTGCTTCAATCCACCCAACTTTAAATCCTCCAACTTTTAATCCTCCTTGCTTCAAATCACCAACTTAAATCCTCCTTGCTTCAAATCCACCCAACTTTAACCTCCTCTTCAAATCCACCTAACTTTAGATCCTCCTTGCTCAAATCACCAACTTTAAATCCTCCTTGCTTTCCACCAACTTTAATCCTCCTTGCTTCAAATCCACCTAACTTAAATCCTCCTTGCTTCAAATCCACCCAACTTCAAATCCTCCTTGCTTCAAAATCCACCTACTTTAAATCCTCCTTGCTTCAAATCCACCTAACTTTAAATCCTCCTTGCTTCAAATCCACCTAACTTTAAATCCTCCTTGCTTCAAATCCACCCAACTTTAAATCCTCCTTGCTTCAAATCCACCCAACTTTTAAATCCTCTTGCTTCAAATCCACCTAACTTTAAATCCTCCTTGCTTCAAATCCACCAACTTAAATCCTCTTGCTTCAAATCCACCTAACTTTAAATCCTCCTTGCTTCAAATCCACCAAACTTTAAATCCTCCTTGCTTCAATCCACCTAACTTAAATCCTCCTTGCTTCAAATCAAAACCTTTGGCCAAATCCACCTAACTTTAAATCCTAAACCTAACTTAAATCCTCCTTGCTTCAAATCCACCCAACTTCAAATCCTCCTTGCTTCAAATCCACCTAACTTTAATCCTCCTTGCTTCAAATCCACCAACTTTAATCCTCCTTGCTTCAAATCCACCTAACTTTTCCTCCTTGCTTCAAATCCACCAACTTTAAATCCTCCTTGCTTCAAATCAAATTAAATCCAAATCCACCAACTTTAAATCCTCCTTGCTTCAAATCCACCTAACTTTAATCCTCCTTGCTTCAAATCCAACCAACTTTTCCTCCTTGCTTCAAATCCACCAACTCCTCCTTGCTTCAAATCCACCCAACTTTAACCTCCTTAAATCCACCTTTAAATCCTCCTTGCTTCAAATCCACCTAACTTCAAATCCTCCTTGCTTCAAATCACAACTTTAACCTCCTTCTTCAAATCCACAACTTTAAATCCTCCTTG